GAGGATGTCCACTTTGGTTTGGCTTAGCACATTGGGGATGGCATGATGGTACAGTTATGGGAGGACAATTGGTTGGGAGGTTGCAAGCCACTCAAGCTCCTTACCTACCAACCTTTTGATGATTCTAACAAAACTCAAACGGTTAGGGATTTGGTCACTCAGCATGGTCAATGGAATTGGCATTGTTTATAGAATAGGCTCCTGACTAGGATCCTTCTGTATTTGGCCGTGGCGCTGGTTCTGTAGGAGGGCTTAGGGGCTGATGTACCCTACTGGGGCGTCTCTGTATATGGTAAGTTTTATGTCAAAATTGTTTATCATATGATTTCTGACATTTCTTCTCTTTTTGTAGATAAGAGATGGACTTTCACGTGGGAGCTCGTCGGGAGCACAACGTATTCGACATTTCTTATCGTTGCTTTTTATGGTAGGGGCTCCTTACCAGTACGGAGAGGGTCCGACGGCATATGACGGATGATTGGGGTTGCATGGTGTGTGGTCGTGGCATCGAGGATATTAACCATGTCCTACGGGAGTGTCATCAAGCGAAGACTCTATGGCAGAAGATTATTTCGTGCACAGCCACCCACACCTTCTTCAGCATGACCATTGATAAATGGCTCTGCACTAATTTACAAAATCAATACAGTTGGTGTTCTTCTTTCTAGGACTAGAGGACAGTCTTTGGCATCACCTGCTAGTTATTATGGAAGCAACGAAACACCCTGGTCTTTAATGGTTAGCCACTCAGTCTAGATGAGCTGAGACATGAGATTTTCAAGATGACAGAGTATACATTTCAGTCCTCCAGCTTCAGTTCCAAGCTGTCGGACCAGCTTAGCCAAAAGAACGCGAGGTTATTCAATTGGCATTCGCCACCTCTAGACTGGATCAAGATCAACACGGATGGGGCCCTCCGCGAGAACAGTGATGTTGTTTGTGCTGGGGCGTTGGGTTGAGATTATGTGGGACATTAGCTCGGCGGTCGGCTCCAGAAAATTAGGTTTTGATCGGTTCTTCAGCGGAGCTTTGGGGTGCATTAGAGGGGCTGGAGCTTGCTTGGAACCTCGAATTGCGCCGTGTTATCTTAGAGATGGGTAGTGTCCTCGCTGTTCAACTTTTGAACAAGATGATCAATAATGAAACGATTGCCACAAATGTGAATTTCAATCTCCTGCTTGCAATCAGGACTTGGCTTATGAAAGGCTGGATTGTTAAGATACAACATACATACCAGGTGGGCAATAGAGACACTGACTACTTAGCGAACATGACTTATGACCGGCCCATGGGGGGTGACTCCTTACTGTAGCCCCCTCTGGGGCTCCTTAGCATTCTCTGTGAGGATATACTTATTATTTCTTGGACCAAACTATGTAATAACCATGTCTAATTATTTTCATTAGTGATGCAAATAAGGCTAAAAATACTCAAGATACTCAAAGAGCATCAAAATGAGACTTGAAGTAAATTTCAAATAACAGGAACACAAATAGAGTTCCAGACCTGAAAAGTTTCAACGGATCAGTAACAAGATCAAAAGCAAAGAAGGTTAAAGAGTTGCTCCAAGTTTTCACTCAAAAATATGTAGATGATGGGCTGGCCAATTGTGAAAAGTTCAAATATAAACTTTTTGAACAGGCTAAATTCATAATTTTAATTGGGTTTAAATGATTTGGGATAATTTGGGCTTGTTTGAGTCTTACTAGTAATGAGTGAATAAGGCTTGTGTATGGACTGGATTCGTTGAGTTGTTTTAAGTATTTTGGATTGTTTTATTTTAGTTTGCGTTAATTAATCTCATATAGTCAAGTATAACTCATTTGGGCTTAAGTCTTGTCTTAGTGTTATTATAAGAATGAGCTCATAACTATATGATACCACAAACAATTAGTGGTATTGGTTAAGAAAATTGGAGTTACAAGGAGTTACATAACAATTACATGTCTATAATTAGCCTAGTTATTGTTGAACTTATAATTGTAATTATCATATAATTAGTCTAGTTATTTGGGAGTTACAATTGTAGTTATTGTGTTGTAACTTATTATTAATTTCTTTAGCTATAAATACCAAATGAACTCTTCTTTGTGGACATCAAGAGTTGTAATCAAATATTTCAGAATTGAGTTAAGATCATTTTGACTTTCTTCTCACTTTATGCACAAGGTGTTGATTTGGAATATAATTATTATCACTTGTATTCAATTTTGATTTCCTATTTCATTTGTTCTTGGTGCTTGTTTGGATTGAGTTCAAGGGACATCATTTATCTTTTTTGGGTTCTATTTAACTTCTACCATTTGGGTGATTGAACAAATTTGATTCTTTTTTACTTGTGATTTAAATTATGTTATACATCGATTGAAGAGTTCTAAGGTTCGAGTAATAGTCTTGGGGTTTCGCATTAATTAGCCCATTTGTTTGCTTTCTCCTTGTATCCAAAAAAAAAATTGATCAACACATCAAAATATGAACAAAAAATAATTTAAATTGGAAACAATATAGTTATTCTTCAAAAATAGTTCAATTAAAAACAAAATCAATACAGCTGGCACTGCGTTCCGTAATGGCTCTGAAGGTGGATATGGTGCAGTCATAAAAGATGATTTAGGTAATGTGTTGATAGCTTTCTTGGATAGAATTTCGAACCGTCGTTCTCCCTATTTAGTCGAATTACTGGGTTATCGAGACGCCTTGCAGTACATAGTAGCCAATTTCTATGGACCGAGTATTCTAGAAATGGATGTTCAGAGGTTGAAGTCTGTCATGTCGTCCATAGCTTGAGATGATTCCGAATTTAGTTTCATCATCGAGGACAACAAAACTTTACTGAATCAACGTCTGGTCATAACACTCAATTGGACCAGGCAACAAGGTAATGAACTAGCTCACAGATTAGCGAGAACTGCGAATTATTATCCTAATTTTTGAGTCTGAGAGTCTTTGCCTCCGGATATTAATGTACTGTTCTCATAAATCTTAATAAAATTAGTTATTTAAAAAAAATAAAATCAATACATTCATATTTGAAACAAAATGCTCTAAACAAAAATAAAAATCATTTTAAAAAGATTATAATTAAAAATAAAATTAACACGCTTAAATATGATATGAGAAAGTTCTAAATTAAAAAATACAAACAATATATGACTTAATTGGATCTATCAAAACCATATTTACAAGTACTACAAATTTGTCATGAAATCTTTGAAAATGAAAATAAATAACAAATTAAAAAATAAGATAATTTTAATTAAAAATAAAATAAATACAATCAAATATAAATATCTAGTTTAATAAAAACAAAATCTACATAAAATTGTACAATATATGTTGTAATATTATAAATAAGATATAACAAAATTAAGTATTTGTTTTTTGTTTTTTGTTTTTTGGTTTTTCAATGCTATATATATATATGTGTGTGTGTGTGTGTGTGTGTATATATTATTTAACAAATAAAAAAATATCATGTATGATCGTTTCGGATTCCCTTTATATGTATATATCGATTTCTTGTTTAATCTTAAACATGGATATTTTATAAATATTATATAAATAAAATATTTTATACAAGAAATAAATAAATTATAACATAGTAGCCCCCAAAAGATGAACTCTATATATACCTCAAGGTGACGCTCCTCATTCTCGTGTCCGTCTCTATCTCTCTCTGCTTCGGAGAAGAAACAGCGACAATGGAAGAAGCAGCAATGGAGTGTCGATAAACTTCTGATCTACCATTCTGCTGATATATAATCATATAATCAACCCCTTCAATCAGGTTAATCGCCTCTTTCTTTTCTGTTCTCTGTTTATAGCACTGCGTTTCTTGCATCCAACATCTCTTGAGTACGATCGGTGTAATACAAGTACCTTCAGTCTAGGTTTTGTTTGCTTGTCGAGAAAATTTTAAGTCATGAAATAACAAAGATTGGAACTCCTTGAGTTCTGGGTATAGGATAGTCTGTTTCCTTGAAGGCTGAAAAAAACCGATATGGCTTTCTGTTGATCTTATACTCTTAATCAAATGCTTGTGTCGATCGTTGAAAAACCCGATATGTTGTTTTGATCGCTGATGAAATGCTTCTGTCGTAATCGAAATTCTGCTTTTTGAAGATGTTGCCATGAATTTGATTGTGGAGAAATTTTAGCGGTTAGAAACAAGTGGGAACCAAATGTCTAGAAAACAGTCCGTTTGGGTGGTCAGAAAATAATAGGTGACTAAAAGGAAGCAGAAGCAACTTTTTGATGCTTGGTTATACAATAGGTCTAATCTGCATATGAGTTAACTGAAAGCACCCAGTTAAGTTCATATGTTTGTTGGCTCAACTTGTCTAGACTTTAAAGATTTCTTTTCGTTCTGGTGTTCTCACAGATGTTTGCAGTACTTGTTGCTGAGCTTGTATGGATTTGAAGGGCAAAAATGAAACTTTATTTCTTCCATCGCATAATAATAGTATTAATAATGATTTGTTATTTAGCAAATTGATAATAATGACAACAATGTATGAGCACCTAGGTCGATTAGTTAAGTTTTTCTGTTCCCTAATTGAGATGGATATGAAATAAAACACGTGGTCATACATTTATTTATCCTCCGTTTTCTCGTCAACCAAAAGAGGGAATTTTTTCACTTCATATATTGTTTTTCACCCATGAAACTATATTAATT